GGACCCAGCAAATCCATTCCAATTTGCTGGAAGGGCTTGGTTGGCGGGGTAATCGGCTGAAGGAGACCTGCTGGCTTTGACGGTGCTTTCTTGCGTCGCTGGCACTCATGGCACGATCGTGTGTAGAGATGGACGGTCTTCGGAAGCTTTGGCCAGTAGTACTTGTCACGAATCCGGGCAAGGGTCCTGCTGTAGCCGAGATGTCCGGCCGTTGGGTCGTCGTGGCACGCTTGAAAAATTTCTTCTCGGAGGCTGGCGGGGACAACCAGTAGCCAGGGGGTTTCGCTGGTTCCGAAATTCTTTCTGAAGAGCACGCCTCGCCGCAGGACAAAGCTCGGTAGGTCCCGAGAAAAGACCCGTGGGACAGAGCCTCCTCGACCTTCGAGGCTGTCGATCACGGAGCTAAGTTCCGCGTCGTCGCGTTGCAGTGCCCTCATGTCGGTAGCGTCAACTGCGCCTAGAAAACGGGCGTCGTCATCGTCGTCCGCGCCGGAGATTGGAGGTTCGACTGGAGCCCTAGACAAACAGTCAGCGTCATTATGCTTGCGGCCGGACTTATGCACAATGGTTACGTCGAATTCCTGCAGTCGAAGGCTCCAGCGGGCGAGGCGTCCGGACGGATCCTTGAGGTTTGCGAGCCAGCAGAGGGCGTGGTGGTCTGTGACCACGCGAAACGGGATCCCGTACAAGTACGGGCGGAACTTGGTTATCGCCCAGACGACAGCAAGACATTCTTTGTCGGTCGTTGAATAATTTTGTTCTGCCTTAGACAGCGCCCGGCTTGCGTAAGCGATTACTCTCTCTGCCCCTTCTTGTCGCTGAACGAGTACCGCACCGAGACCGGTATTGCTGGCGTCCGTGTGGATTTCAGTCTCCGCCGACTGGTCAAAATGTCCGAGGATAGGGGGCGACTGGAGCCTTCGCTTGAGTTCGTCGAACGCTTGCTCTTGCTCCTCTCCCCACTGGAACTGCACGTCGTCTTTCGTCAGATGCGTCAGCGGTGCAGAAATTTGCGCAAAATCACGAACGAAACGTCTGTAATAGGCGCACAGCCCAAGGAATCTTCGAACGGTCTTCTTGTCCGATGGCTTCGGGAACTCGGCGACAGCGGACGTCTTGGCGGGATCAGGGCTTACACCCTGAGCACTCACGACGTGGCCCAAGAATTTGAGCTCACCATAGGCGAACCGACACTTGGAAGGCTTGAGGGTCAGCCCAGCAGCTTTGAAGGCCTGTAGAACGGCTCGCAGTCGTCTCAGGTGCTCGTCGAATTCGCTTGCGAAGACCACAACATCGTCGAGGTAGACGAGACAGCTTTGCCATTTCAAGCCGGCAAGGACGGTGTCCATAACGCGCTGGAAGGTTGCCGGCGCTGTGCACAGCCCGAATGGCATTACTTTAAACTCATACAGTCCGTCCGGCGTGACGAAGGCCGTCTTCTCACGATCTCGTTCGTCGACCTCAATCTGCCAGTACCCGCTCTTCAAGTCCATCGACGAAAAGTATCGGGCGTGGCGTAGTCGGTCCAGGGTGTCGTCGATGCGTGGCAGTGGGTAGACGTCCTTTTTTGTTACGGCGTTCAGTCGGCGATAGTCCACGCAGAACCGAAGAGTCCCGTCTTTCTTTTTCACCAGGACTACCGGTGAAGCCCACGGACTGCTTGAGGGCTGGATAATGTCGTCGTCAAGCATTTCTTGTACCTGCTGCTGGATGGCTTCCCTTTCTTTCACGGAGACCCTGTACGGCGGCCGATGCACAGGGAGTGCGTCGTCATCAGTAATTATCCGATGTTTCGCAACCGTCGTTTGGCGCACTTTCGACGACGTGGAGAAGCACTCACTGAACTCGGCGAGAAGGTCACGAAGTTGTCGTCGTTGTGGGGCTGGGAGGGATGGGTCGATGTCGAGCTCTGAGGACGTGATTGTCTTGTTCTGCGTCGGAGAGGCGTCTTCTGAGATCACGGCGATCGCGGCTGAGTCTTCGATTTCCTCGACGTAGCCCACAGTTGTACCCTTTGTAAGGTGCTGCGACTCTTGCCGGAAATTGGTGACAAGGGCTACTGTACGCCCGTCCTGGAGCTCGGTTACGGCTCTTGCAATGCCAATCCCTCGTCCGAGGAGAAGTTGGACGCTTCCTTCCAGCAGTGCTACACCGCAGGTGGCTCCTTCGGTCCCGACGGGCACAAATACACTCGACAGCGGTGGCAGGTTTACGTGGCTGGCGAGGACTCGCACTGCAGCTAACGTCGGTTTGGTATTTTCCACCGATGGGGCAGGCTTCCGAAGCGTCAGCTTGTTCTCCGCAAGGTCGATGATGGCGCCGTATTCACACAGGAAGTCCATTCCGAGAATGACGTCCCTCGAACAGTCTTGCAGAACGACGAACTTCACAGGGCATGTTTCGCCGTGAATCTCGACGCGAGCGGTGCATCTCCCGACTGGTGTAATGAGGTGTCCTCCGGCGGTTCTTATTCGTGGTCCATCCCACGGCGTCATGACTTTTCGAAGGCGGCGGGAGAGCCTCCCACTCAAGACTGAGTAGTCTGCTCCGGTGTCCACGAGTGCGGATGCGTCGTGGCCGTCGATGACGACGTTTAGGGTATTGGACACCACTGCAGCGGCGTCGTTTTGGTCTCTGGTGGTGTTCGAGTGGGGGCCCCCCGACGTTCGTGGAGGATCTTGGCGTCGGTCGTCTTCGGCAACTCCACCTCCAGGGGTTGCCGCGCCTAGTTTCCCCGGCGAGGAGCGAGGGGGGACAGGCTTTCACGTCGCGGTCGGTGCATCGGCGAAGCTGGACGTCGCGGTGACGGCGACCGGAACTCTCGGGGGGACGCAGGCTCGGGGGACTGAGGTCGTCGCAGGTACTCGTCGATCTCGATAGGGCGTTCACCATGACGGGGGCGCGGGTCGTTCGGGTGGAACCCGCGTAGCCCGAGTCGTCGGTATGGGCATCGGCGGTAGGTGTGGTCCGCTTCCCCGCAATGGAAGCACAGAGGGCGTCGGTCGGGCGTTCGCCACAGGTCAGTCTTGCGGGGTGCGCGAGGCTCCGGGCAGGCGTACTGGACCTGGTCGTCGTGGCGTCGGTCGTGCTGCGGCGCAGGAGACTGACGTCGGGGCGGCGTGACATAGGTGCGGCGAGGAGGCGGTGGCCGTCGGGCCACTGCGGCGTAGGTCAGGGCGGGCTCTTCGGGTGGTGCTACGCAGGCAGGAGCCTCCGGTTGAATTGCCCGCTGGACTTCTTCGCGCACCACTTCGGCGATCGACAGCTCAGCCGGCTGGTTGGCAGCAGGCAGCAGCTTCCGGAGCTCCTCCCGGACGATGTCGCGGACGATTTCCCGAAGGCCGTCGACACCGGTGGCGTTCAGGTCTAGTCGGCAAGATGCGGCGGTTCGAGGAGCAGGCACGCCGGCGAGTCGATGGTAGTGGCTTGCTCGGGCCGACAGCGCTCGCTCGATGTTAGTGGCTTCAGCCACAAAACCGTCGACGGTTGTCGGGGGATGGCGGACAAGGCCCCCAAAAATTTCAGCCTTCACGCCACGCATGAGGACGCGGAGCTTCTTCTCATCGGCTGCCTCCGGATCGGCTCGGGCACATAGGCGCATGACATCCTCTACGAAGCTGGTCACGCTTTCGTTGGGGCCCTGCACCCTTGTTTGGAGAAGGTCCTCCGCTCGCTGCCGACGGTGGTGGTTGAGGAACGTTCGCTTCAACTCCGCGGCGCAGGACTCCCACGTAGTGAAGGACGCTTCGTGGTTTTCAAACCAATGCCTCGCAGTTCCTTCAAGCGCGAAGTAGAGATTGTGGAGGTATTGTTCAGTCGTCCATCCGTTGTGGCGGGCTACACGTTCGTAGTGTTGCAGCCAGTCTTCAACGTCCTCGTGGACGTCTCCGTGGAAAGGCGTTGGAGTCCTGGGTGCGATCGGCAGGTACACAACGGCAGAAGCGGCCGGGGTCTGCGCCTGGTTGGCCATCGTCGTCTTCGGCTTGGTCGTGGGTGGCAGAAGTCCGTGTTCCGGGGGTAGACCTCGGATGCGGCGACTTGACCGGGTCTCGATCTGGTCTTCGTCGGGTCCTCCGGAGCTGGGGTTTGGACTTGTACTGCGGGAACTCGGAGGGCTGCGCTGCACGGACATGCGGTACATGAATAAACGAGAACTTTCTGGAGGTCCGTGACCGAGCGTTGCTTTCTCAGCCCTGGGCGCGGCAATATCAAATTTGTCCACTTTTCGTGAAACACCATATATATATATATGGTGTTTTGATATATATATATGTGTGTTTTTTTTTATTCGTACACATTTAAAAAAAAAATAAACCGTGAAAGCTACACTAATGCGGTTTTTGCAGGTGGGTTATACGGCCAGGCGGACATAATCTGGGTGGCTAATTTTTGCGATAAGTCGGCCAATTAGTTAATATTCGTTAATTAACTTTTTAATTACTGAAAATAGACATATAGTTTCAATTAGAAACTTGTAGAGCATCATCGAAAACTACTAAATCAACTATTTCTTGAGGGAGATAACGCCGGAGCAGCATTTTGTAATATGCAGCATTTCCATGTTAAAACATGTACATTTTGAAGAGGTGCTAAACAAATAATTTTATAAGCATATACTAATATATGGTTTTACCTCATCATGAAGCTAATTACTAACGCTACGCGAGGACTCGAACTGTTTTTTACTACGGCTATTTAGGTGAAAAAGGGTGCAGTTTGTTTTCTGAAGCTTTAAGAAAATACAACCACACTTCCAAATTATTGCCATTCGATACTTAACGGCTAAGAGGAGCGCTTCGCAATATGAGACCGTTTGAAATCGACTCGCCGCTTTCCCGCTTAAGCTATCCCCATCCACCGCAAAGGAAACGGGGAGGCTTCTCCAAGGGAACGGCCTAGGGAGGCGCCCAGGGAAAGGGGGAGGCACCTAGGGAATGGGAGCGGTTAGCGACGGCCGACCCGGGCCCGTTCGATGGGCTGCGTGTCAGAGTCCCGGAATATCGCGGAGTGTTTGGATGCCACGTGCACCGCCGTCGGCATGGCGATACTCAAGCGATGCTGCTGCTGGAAGTCCGTGCGGAAAGGGAGTTTTGCCAGCGCACTCTTCACCCTGGTGAGTGGAGAGCTCGACGGAAAGCACGTGCGCGCAACAGACCGAATGATGGTACGATGGCGAGCTTGGCGGTATTGCTCATAAATACAAAGACGAAACGGACAAAGACTGACAACAAATGGAAAGTTGTGTCTTCCGCCCGTCCTCGGCCTTCGCGTATTTGCCTTGTCCTTGTTGAACGACTGACGGATAATGTTTGGTTGTATTTGATAATTTGGCCATTCTTTGGTAACAATTAAAACACTAAGGCGAGCGCCAGCTCATGTAGGTTGGCCGTACATTACAAATGTTGACACTGGAGAAATGAAGACAAGAAAATTGCAAGAGCTACTTAAGAAGAACAAGGAACACGGACAGACAAGTTCTTGAATTGTCATCGGAGGGGATCGTGCATTACGCACATGTAAGCCCTCGGTCAAAACGAACAAAAACAAAATGAACCATCCTTTCAGCATGTATGCATATTTTTAGTACAACGGTGGCGGATACTGACATCGGCAAGAACTGTCTTCCTAACTCAATATGACCTTTTTGTATCAGTAATTTTTAGCATAAGGCTCCTGTGGAGATTTCTGCAACGATGGTCGAGTTTAAGTTTAAATGACGCGTCTCGCTAATTAACTCATACGCGTATCGGCCGAAAGGTCGAGGCACTGATTTGTAATACACTTGTCAAATTGGTGTGTTTTTGTTATACGTGAACTGAAAAATATACAAGTAAGGCAGTTTTTAATGAATTCTACACATGCCTTCGCACGGATGAATTTCTTAAATTTTAGTTTTTTTATTTACTTTCTACGCATTGTCAACTTATTTTAGGCTGTACTAAGCAGTAAGTAACCTGAGATTGAAGGTGCTCGCTTACACCTTTCTGACGTGCAAGTATGTGATGTAACGTTCTTATATCGCTTGTATGTCGCAAAATTAGAATTCCCTGCACGCCGCAGACCCAACATACATCTGCTGTTCTACGAAGATCGTCCAGATGGCAGACATTTCAATAGGAACTAGTTTGCCCCCTATAGTCCGTGAGAGTTGCGAATAGTTTGTTTTGAGTTAAATCGAATGTAGAACTTTGGGAACATTCATTAATGACACTGGCAGAAACGTTACTTGAGTTCGGTTACGGGAAACATTGTTTTTATGATATATTTTTATTATACTGAACTATTTTTTTAAGTGTATTGTGCTTGGTCTACTTTTAAATAAATGTTTTATTTTTATTTTTATATATAGAGTTTTTAAGTTTTGGATGCTATGCATATACAGAAAAAAATCCTGCTCTTGCAAGCATGTGGGGAATAGCAACCTAATTCAAAGATCCTCGTAGAATAATGTTATTCGGTATTTTTATTTAAATTATACTGGGTACAATAAAGAGCAAATACATTTTTTGCCAGACATATTTTATTTGAAAACAATAAAAATATCAAAAACGCCATTTCGAAGGGTTAACACAAGTTCTTTTACATGTGTCATAAAGAGGAAAATATAATTTTGAAATGTAATGTCTTGTTTTGTGTATTGTCCCCTTTTCGTCCGTCGTCTCCGGTTTTTAAAAACGTGTAACATCAACCAGCTCGCCTGCCTACTCAGTATATCTACATTATTTGTCTCATCACTTTATCCGTAGTATTATTATGCATGTAAATTGATGTTGTTGAACAGCCATACCACCACAGTCATTGAAGTTTCTTCAATCATTGGAAAGTTAATAAATTAGATAAACCAAGGGTGCCCTTTGAAAAATCTCGCGAGGTGAATGTCCCCGTACCGTTAATTTCTCCAAGCTTATTGCTCCCGTCAGGCTACACTATTTTGGCTTCCTTCGAAGGGTTCAGTATCTCCAGTCATAGCTCTATAGCGTAATGAAAATACTCCTAACGGCCCTCTTTTAGTCCCTTGGGAGAGGATATTCGAGCCAATGCAAAAATATCCATCCCGTGTGGAACAGTTTTGCCGTTAGAGACTACAGTCAAATTAACGTGAGCAGAACAAGATTTATTAGCACGCGATAGAAAGCTTTAGGTGCTTGGCTATTCACTACGCCATTTCCGGACATTAACGCAGCCTAATACTGGCCGTTTTCACCTCGTTCGCGTATAAAAAAAAAAGAATAAAAAAAAATAAAGCTCGGATCGTCCTTTTTATTCTGTCTCTCAAGTGCCTTAGCCTTCCCGCCGTTTACTTTTTTTTTACGTTTTAGATTTTTTCACATTTGCCCTACTTAAAGCAGAAGACTACAGTTTTTTACGTTGTAGTGACTGCGTACATTGAACAATTATTTTTCTCGAAAAGGTCTCTTCATATCAATGACAGCCACTATCTCAGTGAATCATTTTCACTATAAAAAAAAGTAGTTGTCAATTTCCGCAGAGGAAATATGTCCACATTGTCCATATTGACTTATCCATTCAAATAATTTATCACCGACTAGCCTGGTCCCCGCATTCAGTTGCATATTATAATTTTGAGGAGTTCACGGGCCTTTATAAGGTTTGTTTTAGTTAGGGTGAAGGTAGAAGAACATTTTTATTTGATCAACCAATCAAGCGATCAGTCAATTTGTATTCATCTTCAGTAAGCATCAAAATCGCTGCGTGTTGCATCTGGAGTCTTAGCCATTCTGGCTAGTTCTGAATAATACACGGCCACATAAATAAGGGATGTTGATTTGACTTGGCACGCAAGTAAGCGAATACTCAGTTCACAACATTCATAAATAATGTTTGTTGTTTTTGCTTTTCCGTTCTGGATAGAAGGCTTTTGGCTATTTAGCTTCGTGAATACTGTCACTTTGGCCCACTAAACGATATGCAGTGAGTAAAATCCCGATTGTAAAATCCTTACTACCAACTCGAAAACAGTTAGAAGGTCCCTTTACGTCTCCTGTTTGAAGAGCTATCGAATTGTAGTGTCTACGAGATTTCTATCTGTATAGTAATAATATTATAACACCAAAACACGTGACGGATTCAACAGTAGGCAGAGTGAGCAGCCCCCAAAGGCGGCAGAACTCGGGGGCGGTTAATTTCGGAGGCTGGTTCAATGAGCGCCTATTTTTGGCAACCCAGTCCCATGCACATAACGCAAAAAAAAAAGAGAACCGCACTTGTTTGTCTTTAATGCTTACCCATATAATAAACCAGAAAACGGAAATATTGTGCATACACAGAAACGCAATACTCAAAAAAAAACAACAACAACAACAACGGGTGTTTGTTCACTTAAGCGAAGGCTCTTTCGATTAACGCCAAAGGCCCCAGAAGGGCAGGCCGTGCACATTACAGTTCTAAACGATGGGCAAAACGAGACTTTCCCGGCAAATAAAAAAAAAAAATGTCCAAAGCAGCGACCTATATTGTCAGCATAACGTAAAGGTGCTCTCCAAGATTCAGAACAACTAAAATATACCTTTGCCCTGGCAGCTTTTAAAAACAAAATAAAGCTTCTCCGACAAATGAAAAAGAATGTTAAAATAATGCTGTTTTAGAACATTTAATTGCGGAAGACGCCTTTTTTTCTCTAGTACTTCACTCACATTTTGTCATTCATGAAATCAAACTAGGAGTGTTTCTCTTGTTTATAAATACAATAGGCAACGAAATGATTGTGTTCCATGGTGTTGATTATTAGAAAATACACGAAGAAAACATCCACATATCTGTGTTTGACTCTGTGTGGAACAGAAAATCGGAAAGCATGGCGCCTTTCTCAAGAAAGCAGAGACCGTAAAAATTAAAAGTAGACAGCGTCAATAAAGATTTCTAAGTAAAGCACACTTTTTCACAAAGCGCCGACTCTAACCTGCAGCCAGCTGGGCGTCTGTACTACGACCCCAAGCTATTTTCATTCATATATCAAGGAATTTTTGCAAAGGAAACAAAGAAGTGAAGAGAAACAAGATCCGAGCACAAGACATGTTTTCACGAAGAATAACGCATATGCAACTTTCGTTCTTCTGTTCATGATGAGTTTAAATGGTTGCGAAATGCTGTATCTTAAGGCAGGCTAGACATTTTTGAATTGCGTGAAAAGTGTTTTGAAGCTTGTAAGCTTCCACCCGGTTCCAAGCCCCGAGTAAACCCGCTGGCAGCTCTAGTAGAGCATGGGCATATTCAGACCTCATGGGGTCTCCGCTGCATGATGTCAAGTCACTCGCGTCCTTCCTCTCCCGTGGTCCAGGCATATTGTATTATGCAGGGATGGGCAAAATACATGCAAGTATGCATCCAAATACAAATACAAAATACTTCATCAAAAATGTATTTAATTACAAATCTAATTACATTAAAAAAAAGCATTTAAGTACAAGATACAAATACAACCATATGTATTTGAACTCCTCCAAATACTTTTCTAAATACATTCCTCAATATTTGCGTCAGCCACTTCAGGTGCTTCAGGGCACCTGCAACGGATTTCTGGGTATCTAATTTTAATTTTGCATTGCACACTCGGGAGTTAGTATGCGAGGCTCTAGTAACGTAATAGAAATATAATCACAAAAAAAATGTAATCAGCTTGGACGTAATAGGTGAAAAAAGTACAGAGCTTCAAGCAGCTTTTTTTTCCGATTACATTTTGGTATAGACCAACAAAGAACCGAGACGACCAAGACGCGCAGCCCTAGCTACCGAATTTTTTATTGTTGCAACTCGCACCAGTTACGAAAATCTGAACGACCCACGCATTTAAAACGTTCCAGGCAAAAATATGGATGAAAATCAGGCTGGAAAGCATCACACCTTGTCACAGGCACTTATTTAGCCAGTCGGCCTGTGTACGTTGATTTCGCCACTATTCTTGCCCTGGACTAGCACTGTAATCACAAAGTCACTAAACGCTGGTGCTTGATTGAAAGACACTGCATTCGGTGCAGAACGTAGTTTTGAGGGATGTATTTTCGGCCACAAAATTGTATTTAATTACAAGTGTATTTGAAATACCCACGTTTTAGTATTTAAATGCACACGTCACATGCATTACCCAATTTGTAA